TGCTAGGCTTAGACTGCTGGAGGACAAACTGACCACACTTTTCACTCTGCTACTGTCTTTACTTACTCTGCTCAACATGTTTTGTATTTGTAATTATTTTTTCTATCCTTAACATGTTTTTTTTGTCTTTCAGATACACCTGGACCTATACCTGGACCTACCATTCTGTGTTCGTCTGTCTCTCCTTCCTGTCCTCTCAACCAGCCGGTCAAAGCAGATGGCCTCTTGTCCTGAGCCTGGTTCTGCTGGAGGTTTCTTCCTTTAAAAAGGGAGTTTTTCTTTCCACTGTTGCCACTGTGCTTGCTCAGGATGGGAGACTGCAACGAAGCCAAGATTCAACTTGTCTGCTGGATTCCTTAGATAGAGAACTTTACTAATTGGCTTTTATGTTTGTGAATGTTTCTGTAAAGTGCCCTGAGACAACTTTGTTGTGATTTGGCGCTATATAAATAAACTGAATTGAATTGAAAGTACTTGGGGTCCACTTTCCAGGAAAATGGGGAATGTGGTAAAGAGGTGAAAAAGAGAGTCCAGGCAGGATGGAGTGGATGGAGAAAAGTTTCAGGAGTGATTTGTAATAAAAGTGTGTCAGCAAAGGTCAAAGGAAAAGTTTACAAGACAGTGGTGAGACCAGCTATATTGTATGGTCTGGAGACAGAGACATGAACAAATAGACAGGGCTGGAAGTTTCAGAAACGAAGATGTTGAGGACTGAGGACTGAGGACTTAAGCATAACAAGGATGGATAAGATTAGGAATGACATCATCAGAGGTACAGCACAAGTATATTGGTAGAAGGATGTTAGAAATGCAGCTGCCAGGAAAAAGACAAAGAGGAGATAATGTACATATATGGATGCAGTTAGAGAGGACATGGAGGTAGTTGGAGTGAGGACAGAGGATGCAGAGGACAGAGATGGAGGAGGATGACTCACTGTGGAGACCCATGAAGAGGGAAAATCTGAAAGAAGAAGATATCTATGTTATATTCTTTGATATGCATACTTTACTGGGGGGCAGTGGAGATTATCTTGTTTACTCTCAGGAGCATCTGCTGGCTTTCCGATTGAAGGGACGAGATGGGATTTTTCACACAATTCCAGAAGAACGGAGGAGGAAGTATTGAGGCTGCAGAGCGGGAGCTAAGCAGAGAGCTAAGAAGTTGGAGAAGCAGAGGAGGTACAAACCCTCGGTCCCATCGGTGATCATGGGAAATGTTAACTCGCTGACCAACAAAACTGACGAGCTGGCTGGACTGGTGAAAAATCAGAGGCTGTACAGGGAATGTAGCGTGCTGTGTTTCACTGAGACGTGGCTTACCATCAACATGTCGGATGCTAACGTGGATTTACCTGAATAAAAGCAAAAGCGGACAGAGACGCGAAGAAAAGCAGAAAACGTAAAGGTGGTGGGCTCGCACTATTTATTAACACCAGATGGTGCAACCCTGGACTTGTCAGCATGAAGGTGAACATCTGCTGTCTGAACTTTGAGCTGCTGGCAGTGAGACTGTTTTCTATGTGTCTGGAGTTCTCCCACGCCATTTTTCCCTGTGTTTACATTATCCCGCGGGCGGACGCGCGGGCGGACGCGC